GAGAAAATTGTATAGCTGAATGTGGGACAAACTACAAGAGGTAAAATTGCTGAGTTTAAGTGAAATGAAAATTCTGATACGTGTCTGTATAACCAATGTGATTCTGCAACCTTTACATTTGGAAAAATGAGAAATTATACCCCATTTGATTCAAATGTATGATATGTCAAGATCATTGTATTGTCATGCGCAACTAATAAAAAAAAGAAAGTGCCTTATTAAAAGTTGTCCAACATGTTCTCAACTATTTTTCAACCCTTTGCTAAATAGTTTGTCAATATGAGGTATCTCAACTTCATAATATCAATATAAAATTGGAATTTCATTGTTCTAATTTCTATCCCTTTTTGTTAAGCATATTTCCCCTAATTTATTAGACATTTAGTTTTCTTCAGTGAATTTCCTTTATATATTCTTTGCTCATTTCCTACCATATGGAATTGTTTTTCTTTTTTCTTTTGAGGAGCTCATTACATTTTAGAGATATTAACAACTGTATACAGCAAACATGTCTTCCCAGTACCTTGAGAAAGAATTGGATATCTATAAAGTCCTTTTCGTTTTGTGCATGGTCTGTACCCTTTATTGACCTCTTCCTTTGTATTTACCTTCTTAGCTAGTATACTTGCTGCCTTATTTGTATCACCACTAAACTAGAAGAGAGTAAGGGACATGAAATTAAATATTTGAACAGAGCTCATGTCATTGTTGAGTTTAGTTAGAAGGGAGATGGATACGCTTCACTTAATGTGTATAGAGGATTATGGCGGAACATCCTGTCTCTTCCATTTTTTCATGAAGTAACTTTTCCTTCAGAATGCTGAATAATGACTGACTATACACCAAAATATAGTCACTGAAAATATAAAAATCACTGACATACAAACTGATGTGATATAAAAAATGCAGTTAATTATTTGGATGGTCTAATGATCAATTATTTCAATAACTGGCCGTGTACTTTATTTTTTTAATTCAGATATTTGGCAGTCTATGACCATGAATTTTTAATGACTAGGAACAAAAATATTAGCATATGTAGACAATTAAAAATGAAATGAATGGCTACAGAGCTAGAAGTTGAAATTAATATCAGTTCACATTTAAAAATTAATATGCATTCTTGGCCAAATATGTATGTATAAATACATATGTACATACACACATATAGTACTATTCAAATGTATGATCAATTTTCAAGTGCTTAAGTACTTATATGACACTGTGAACTAGAATATTTTCTTTAAGCAGATACTTTGCTAATTTTTTTTTTTTTTTTTTTTGTATTATGAAGACAAAAACTGTAAAGAGTTCTGGTTAATTCACATGAAAAGGCCTGAGGCTGAAACATAGGTCAAAATAATACAATCTTAGGGAAAGAAAAACAATCTGGAAATGTCAGATTTTTTTCAGAAAGGCATTTGGATTGCCAGCTCTTGCAGATGTGTAGAGGAAGGAGAAGTAAAAGCTTAATAATATTGTAGAAAACGATCAATTTCTATGCTAATTCCCCCAATCTTTCCCAAATGAAAGATTATCCCTGTTTTTCTCACATCTCTTCTTAATATTTTAATTTATTTTATTCAAATTAAATTGATAGTCTTTCTTCTTGTTGAACTAACTTCAATAAGAATGGCATATATTTTATGGTTTGACTATATTCATTAATAACCTTTGGAAATCCAGTTTGAGGTAATCATTGAGACTGGGAAAATTTAACATTTTATTTTTTTTAATCTTTAAATAGTTAGAGAAAATTTCTATAAGCCTATTCCTTTATTTTTTTTCTTGTAATCCTAAAAGTAAAGTAAGTTTACCATTGTTAATCTAGAGAGTACATCACCTAATAGGTTCTCTATTTTTTGGTGGGGGGTACTGCAGATCAAACTCAGGGCTTCTTGCATGCCAGGTAAGCACTCTACCACTAAGCCACACCCCTGGGCCCAGTTCAGATATTAAAAATACCTATTTCTGAAGATAATTGCTATATTTTAATGGGTGACTCCTATTTTCTGAGCAAATGATGTACATATCATTAGGCTTCCTTGTTGTGTTTGCTCTTTCATAATCTCAAAGAAAGGATTTTTGTATTAGTTAACTATTGAGTTTAAGTTTAGGTGAGATAGATTCTATTACTTTAAACTTACAGTTTATATCTTTAATGCCTCTTGCTCTTGGCAAGTTCTAATTTAGAAAGGCAGGAAAAACTACTTGATATGCAAAAAATAAAAAATAAAAAGAATACGACAGCCAAGACAATCAGTATKTATGCAAACGGAAAATATTTGCCATCCCAAACCATCAATATTTATGAAGTTTTAAGAAAATGTAATAAGACTACATACAAATTAAAATCCATTGCATCTACTTGAATTCATAGGGTACATTTTTATCTTGTTGCTTTCCTTTTACTAAGAAAATACTTTTAAAATAATTTAAAGTATCATGGTAAAATTTATCATCTTATATGTAGTAAGATAAACTTATAATGTATTGGAAATTTAAGAAATGATCCTGGTTATACTTCATCATGATAAACATTTATTATCCCTCTATCTCTTCTGTATATGGGACATCTGCTTTTGTTTTATTAGCTAGACTTAGAAATAGAGCAAGTATTGAGACTTAGTCTGTTTCCTTAAGAAAAATCCTGGCACCACTGGTCACAGGGTTTTCAGTGGTCTTTGAAGTGCTGTTCATTTATTTTGATTGTACTTCGAGTTTTGGGCACAAGTGACTAATTAGTGGCATTTAATAGTAAAGCAAAAATAACATCTTTTAATGTTACTTAACAGAAAGAATTAGTCTTGCATTAATTTTAATCCAGTTTCATTTCCCCTATAAAAAATAAGAGAAAGTTTGTTTGAAGTAGCAAGAGGAAGCAAGAGTAGCCATTTTATACTGCTTTATGGACCAAAAAAAAAAAAAAAAGGCAGAAAATTTAACTAATGTACCTTGTGTATTCAACATCTGTTTATTAGGGAAACCAAGATTACTACTTTGTTAACTAATTTATTGATTAGTTAAAGTTCATTTGTTGTCCACTTTTGTACTAAAGTTTTCATCTGAAAACAAATCTCTATTCTGATGCGATAGGAACAGGTTAATCTTGCATGGCATCAAATTAAATGTGACTACTTTATAGTGTCTGATTTAGCAATTGACATAACTGTAGATCTTTTAGGCTTTGGTACAGGGTAGCTAGGATGATGTACTAGAGGCATGTATAAAAATTGTATTATAAATACATGGTGGAGATGCTGTAATTCAATGAACATACTGGGTATTTTAGACAAGTTTTTAACTATAATTGTGTTTACCTTAAAAGTGAGACAAAGTTAACCAGAGCCACCTAGGGAAGAAAAGATACTTAAGGATCTGTTTAGACAGTTGCTTCTAGAAAAAGTGAACAGTCTTCAGTCAAAGACTTGTCAATCCTCTTTTTAAAGATTGATTAGGAAGCCGAGTTTTTCTTCTTTTTATCCTTGGAGAAAATGAAAAATAACAAGTCCTCTTCTACTTTAGACTAACCATTCATATACTTTATGACAGTTAGGTCTCCCCTGAGCTTTCCCTTCTCCAGGACAAATTATGCTAACTCCTTCAGCCAATCCTCATAGGTCCTATTTTTCAACCATTAAATCATCTTATTGTTCTTTTCTATGGCTTTTCCAGTTTCTTCAAAATCTTTTTAAAGATATAAAGTCTTAAATTTGATATTTTTGCATGTATCAGATGGATTAGAACTACAGGAAGATATTTATTTCAATCCTCTAAATCAGAGAGATGGTCATCCTGACAAGTCAGTTGGATAAGAAGAAAGAGAAGTCAGGTGAGTACTTTAATATTTTAACATAATGGATGTATGCGATCAGAGACAGTCAAATTCATGTGTGGAAAAAATGTAAGAAGGGCTCATTGTAAGTCCTTTGGGAAGGTACCAAAACACAAAATATATTATAAAAACAACGAGAGCACTTTTGTTTTGTCTTTAAATAACCKGATGCTACTTTTCACTAATTATCCTTCCAAAAAAGAAAAGATTAGTAGATGAGTTTACGTAATTCCAAATTTAGAACAAAATAATGTATCATAGAGGAAGATGACCACTGTTGCTTCAAGAAAGGGTATAGGGATTCAGCATTAGATTAAGTGACCTCAGCTTAATTAAGGGCTGGAGCCATTTTTTTTTTTCCCAAGGAAATCGACATTTGTGGAATGTGGCTGAATGATGTATTATTCTTTTTTTTTTTTTGATAGAACATGGTCACTAGAAAGAGCGTGCTCTAGGCTTTGTTGATATGCCATCTTGCTGTCCCAGGTTTCTTGTACTGCACTGTCTCCTCTGCAGCAGCAAGTGACTAGGATATCAGAGCTGTTTCAACCTTTCCATCCCATGAGGTACATAAATGAACCCATAACCTTATCAATAAAGCAACTCCTCCTCCATGACAATTTTCATAGGAACAAGGCTCTACTCTAATCAAAACCTAGAAAAATATCCCTAAACTATTGAGTCTTACTTGAATTTAAGTACTTGGATAATTGACTTTGTATTTCTTTGATATCTTGACTTTAAACCTGATGTCTTAATTTATGCCCAAAGCAAAACACCTGACATTCACCCTGCTCTCTCTTCTGGGATGCACTTGCACTATGATATTGGGTGAAATGCTCCATAAGCCCCACAAGAGAGAAAAATGCAATCACTATAAAAAGATGCTACTGTGTCCTTTCCAATAGCCTACTTATAAATCAACAATAAGCAATAGGATCACAACCAAGCCAGCTTACAAGAGCTTTAATTCCCCAGATGAAAAGCTGCAAATTCACCCATTGACGGTTTATTTTCATTTCTAGGCTTTAGAAAAATATAAATTGGCTATGCCCATATTGAAAAGCTACAGGCAGATCTTAGAGGGCTCTTGCACTGAATGGTGTGCAGTAGTGAAATATTTTGCACTAACCCCTCTTTGAAAGCTAATGCAGTGTGGTCTTACCATTTTTGCAGACAGGACAACATTGTTCTGGTTCATAGACTGGGTTGACACACTCAGGAACTGCGCAGTCTGCTACAACACAGTGAACTTCATTGCTGGGCTCACAGCGACACCATTCACATGGAGAGGGCTAGGAACAAATCTAAAATTAGCCCCTTTTCTCCTATAACTTATTGCTTGCACATTCATATGCTGTCAGAAGACAAAAACATCAGTGTTTATATTGGCTTTACTGAATTAACTCCATTTACCATGTGTATGATCATTCTCCCCCAATGGAAGGTCATTTGAACATCCAAGCCAAGGTGGGCTGCCATGCACAGCTCAGATTGCCGTGAATAACTAGAGCACTCATGGATTGACTTTTCTTACATCTTTGTCCCTACGTTTCCAGAGAAATGTTTGGACAACTAATATGTCATCTTGTGGTCTGGTTTCCAGATGCACGGATTGCTTTGCCGTCCTCTGGCAAATAAGAATGATATTGGAACATATGTAATAGTTCTTGCCATTTGTCATTTTTTCCTTCCTGAGAAAGAGGAGAATTACTTGGAAACAAGAAAATGGTAAGCACACATCCTTATCCTTTGTAAAAACTCTTTTTCRAGCCAACCTAGTCTCTGAATGGCATTTTTTCAATGTGAATTTTAGAGGAGATTGCATTTGGGATCCAAACATACAGAATACAGACACTGACTTTTGAAAGATTTAGTGAATGTCTTTCATCTTGCCTGCTTGCTTTTATGAATGAACTAAAATCGATTGACCTAAAAAGCCACTATCTAAGTCAAGATTCTGAAACCGGAATTGAAAAATGATTAATTAAGAGAAAAAAAATATTAAAGGGCTGAAAAGGAAATTTTATCTCTACTTACCAACCAAGAGTGATTTGGAGATTTTTTTTTGTTTCCTTTCTAGAAACTGCCTATATCACAAATAATAAAGCAGTGGGAAGCCTGTTAGTTTTTCATACTATACAAGTTCTACCTCTATTTTCTCATTAAACTGAGGTTTAGATTTCTGGAATGAAAACTTGGAGGTCTCAGAAGTTATACATGCACATACTTCTCAATCAAGCTATTTGGTCTTAGAAAATTCTGCCCCCTACCCAATGCCACAGTTCTTCACCCATAAATGTGTTAATGAACCCTCTTTCTTTGTTTCTGTGGCTACTGCCCATGATCCCTGTCAGTTTTTATATTTTCCTGGACCTGAGAATTGGGGTCATATTGGTGCTCTCTGATCCAGACAGTCTGAGGGAGTGAAAACATTTCGATTAATTATTTAAAAATTCATTTCATCTTTGCTTTGTGCTTGAAGAATGAAAATCTAACTTTAATTATTTTGCTATCAAATTTATTCTGAACAAAAGAATTAGCCACACAATMCATTATAAAGTAATGCTGTTTCTTAATGCAATTAACAAGCTTGTTGAAGGGCACAATTATGCTCTCCACTATGTGGTGAGTTGTATATAAGCATTTTCGGAGGAATCTATTATGGTATCCCAAGGGCTAGGGTTTTCTTGAAGCTCCACTTGATCCTACAGCATAGTAGTTAACAGAGATGAAGAGTGGGGCTCCTTTATTGCTCCATAGTTTGCAATCTCCATTAAGATAACTAAGGTGCCCAAGGACACTAACCCTCTCCTTGGTTAATGCAAAGGAGTGCTTTCAGGAAGCACAGCAAAGACAGACTATATTTATTTTGAGAAATACGCTGAGGAAGGACTAAGGTCAAAAGTTGATTTTTAAAGGGGATTTTGAGTAATAAAAAAACATAAAAAAATCCCTCTAATCATTGGTAGCTTCTAATCATGCCCTGAACTTGGTTTTATTTATATTTTGTGGTTTGTTTGTTTCTCCCCTAGAATCTCATGTTATTTCTTCTTTTCATTAATTTAAAAAAAAATCTTTACCCATGTATGGTGGGCCYCTGCTAATAATCCAGCAACTCGGGAGGATGAGGCAGGAGGATTCCAAGTTTGAGGCTAGCCTCAGCAACTTAGGCCCTAAACAACTTAGCAAGACCCTGTATCAAAATTAAAAAATATTAAAAAAAAGATTGGAGATATACCTCATTGGTAAAGCACCCTTGGTTCAATTCCCAGTTGCCAATAAATAAATAAATATAAAAACTCTGTATTTCARTTTATTTCTTCACATCTTAAGCCTTCATAAATCTCTGCTCCAACTCTGAAAACGGCATGAAAGTTAATCCATTGAAGCCCATGCTAAAGTCCTTTTCCATCCTCACCCGCCTTGCCAAGCCTCTCTCCTTTTATAGTCTTACCAGTTCTGACYCTATTGTTATTATCTTTCTCAATTTGAATTTCCTTGTTGCCCCTGCCTTCCCTTCCGATTTTGAAAAGATATAGCTTAAGTAGCGGAAAGTTACTAGGAATGAGCAGTAGTATGCCACTTTGACATTAAGTTCAGACTTTTAAAATCCTTCCCACCTTATGGTGTAAAATTCTGAATGGTTTGGTGCTTTRGATAAATCTTTATATCTTTAGAACTGAACTTGTTACACATTTCCTTTTATTGGGTTCTTCGATGTGAAAATTAKAGATTAAACCTGAAAAAGTTCCTGTAAAAATCAAAGATTAAAGAATAAAACTATCTTTAGAGGAACAGAGTGTTAGAATATGTAGTTAGAAAAAATTATTCTTGTTAGTCTTCTTTTGCTTTTTTTTTAGAAAAGCATGTGATATTATGACTAAGACAGATATTTGGTAAGTCAGGTGATCAAATGATACCATTATAAAATTTTATACAAGCAAAGCAAAATCTTCTATGAAATCTTAGGRAACATTTTATTTCTATGTAATTTTTTGAAACTGAAGTAACATTTACYATATATACCTTGCCATAAATTTTARTTGAAATTGTGATTAAAGGTCAAATGTTTGATTTGATACTACATACGTGTTATAAATCTGTTCTACCTCCATCTCAGTGTTTTYGAATATCTAACGAGGAACTACATTTAAGCAGAGACTGTTTTACCTGTAATTCCCATTGCTGAATACATCCTTGTGTGACAAATGGCATCATAGATGTCTCTAGATTACAATGGAGTTTCCTGACATATATATTACTAGAGATGAATATGAAGGAATCAAGAGCAATAGGAGACTCTCAAATATTGGTTTGGGTGACTAGAACTCAAATTTTCCCTGTTGGCATTTGGGAAAACAGCAATGCACATCGGTTTCAAGACGGTTAACTTCTGAAGATTTTCTAGTTAAAATCTTAGTCACTGTGATTTTTTGAGTTTTTGGAGAATTGGAGGGGAGATACCAGAATCTTGGAAACAATGAAATGCTCCAGGAGTTATTAAAATGTAGAAGCAGCCTGTGAACTATTAACTTGGGTTACTGGAGTAGTTGAATAATATCAGAAAAATTGTCAAATATATTCTTTTTGACAATTTAGAAGCTACTGTGGGTATCACTGAAGGTCAAATTAGGATTAATAAAAGATGTTATGCAGACTGGTGGCATAACATTTTCCACATGCTTATAGAAATGGGAACTTATTTTGTACTCTGAATACACCAGGATTTATTTATCCACAACTGAGGAGAGCCTGAATATTTGTTCCATGTCACATTCATAAAGGTATTGTGAATTACTTGGTGGCTGTTACTGGCATTGTTCAGACAGTAYCCAGAAGAAAATGGTCATTGTCTATTAGGTGTGTTTAGTGACCAGAAACATTGCAATACTATTTGAATYTGATAAAGGCTAAAATGACAATGTTGTTATAAATTCAGGGTTCTCAATTTGTGAAATTAGAAAAAAAATTGCTTCATTTAGTTGACTTCATGTGACTGTGCTATCATCGTAAAAACAAGCATTCTAATCTCAGGTGCTTTAYTGATTAGCTATGAATGTTGGGGAAACTATATAATCTTCCTTTGCCTTAATTTCTTATTCCATAAAATGGGAGTAAAAAGTAGTAAGCAACCTCACAGAATTATTATGAGGCACATAAAAATAGATCATAAATATTATTCACTTGTATACTTAGCCACTGGTGGCTTTTTGAAAGACATCTAAAAAGTAGAAAACTGAAAGTATAAGATGATAYTTTAAAGCAATATTTATGATTTGTTCTTTTGTTTTTACTCAAAAAGAAATCTCATTATGGAAGAGGTTGCAATAAGGTTTTCCAGGATTTGGATTGGTGGGAGGATTTTTGAGCTGATAGAATTAATCATGTGAGAAATACACCCCAAAAATAAAAAGCCTCAAATAAAGAGTAGGTCTGAATGGTTAAAGTGTTTATTGTAAATCATTAATGAAAAGGAAGGGAGGAAGGAAAGAAAGAAAGAAGAAAGAGAGAAAGGAAGGGAGAGAGAGAAAAAAAAAAGGAAAAAGAAAGGCCAAAAATTTATTTCCTTTTCGCAGTGTTGTCATCCAAGAATCAACTCAAAAGCCACATTCCTGAGAGGTTTTCCTGTACCACCCAGGTAATCCAGTCCCTCCATCATCTCTGTACACCCTGCTACCCATTCAAAAGCTATCTTCTCTGTTCCTGGAATTATTATTGCTAATTTCTTCTTATTTTTTATTTGCTCTTGTCTGCTATCCCTATAGATTTGCAATTACTTATTGATATAATGATATATGTATATATATATATATATATATATATATATGTGGATGTGTGTGTATACATATGTATATATATATATATTCACACACACACACATACAAATGATATGTTGTTCATTGCTGCATCTTTTGCACTTAGAAGGCATCTTAGCACATGATAGGAATGTAATAAGTATTTGTTAACTGAAAGACATACTCATTTATGTAGAATCTGTTTTCATATTTGTGAAGTCACACCTTTAGGCAGTTTCATCTGTGTTCATCAGGCATGAAAAGGATGAGATCTTTGTATTATATTTAATTTATTAGGTGTGTTTAGTGACCAGAAACATTGCAATACTATTTAAATTTGATGAAGGCTAAGATGACAGTGTTGTTATAAATTCAGGGTTCTCAATTGTGAAATTAGAAGAAAATATTGTAGAGGTTACTTTGGGGTAGCAGATTTCTGACTATAAGTCATAAAATAACTATTTGGTTCCAATATTGTGACAATAAACATAAACTAA